AAAACGATTCCTTCTTTTCTGAATTTTTACCTTCCACTTACTCTCTTGCGATTTGAGATATTCGTTGTCGTGTAGACGCTTCCTGATGGATTGCTTCGAGCATGCCCCTCCTGTTTTAATCTTCTTGCCTTTATATATTGAGATATTGACCAGTTTCATTAAGCAATCCTCTATTGGTCCTTCTCCTCCCTGCATTAGTTCTCGGTTATCGTTCCGAAGATTTCCTCTAGAATCTTTCAGTACTTCATACTAAGCTGCTATTTAGTTTCCAGGTCTCGCTTCCGCATTTCAGAATTGGCTTTACCGTAGCATAGTACACCCCTAATGTGAGGTTTCTAGAGATTTTAGATGATTAAAATAAACGATTACAATATATCGTCGAAACTAAAATATTTAAATTACTAATTAACGACTAATGTCAAATCTCGGTTTAAAATATTTGAATTCCTGTTAATAGAAAATGACTGAGCACCGTCGATATGAAAACCGTGGTTTAACATACCCATACTTGATAAATTAAGCCATTAAAATTTATATCTAACCAACTGAGGACTGATTTGCAGAAAACCGAGACACAAAACCTCGGGTTTGAAAATTATTTGAATCTATGATTCCGTATGATGCGTTTGTAAACGAGACTAGTAAACCAGGAAATTTGTGGTGTACCAAATGAAAAAATTATTTGTTTCAGACAGACAGCGCTGTGGTCAGAATTCGGAATAATTTTTCCGGGCCCACTTCAAATAGTAAATTTTCCACCAAAACCCAACCTTGTCCTTTACAATCTATACAAGAAAAATATTATGTACAGATATTGCATATATATATATATATATATATATATATATATATATATATATATATATATATATATAGAGAGAGAGAGAGAGAGAGAGAGAGAGAGAGAGACAGAGAGAGAGAGAGACAGAGAGAGAGGGAGAGAGAGAGAGGTTTTTCTCATATTCCTTAGAGATTTGAGAAATGGGTTGAGCAATGGAAGTGGGAAGAACGACTGAAGGTTGTCGGCGGCTTTGCCACGAAACAAAAGCCAACCCAATCAGGCATGGAGGAATTCCGCTTTCTGCTCTGAAACGCTATACTACCACGGCCTTCTCAAGTACTAATAATTCAATTATTGGAATAAAATAAAACATCTAACCATCAGAAATAAAATTTTACTCTAAAGTTTACTCGAAGAGAGATTCGATGAAAACCGTTTTTGGAATCGTTCCAGCATTAACTGAGGTACAGTATAAAATCTGACCTCCCGGAACTAGGTCATAGCAGATCCAGGACAGAGCGTTAAGGCGGATTACGCTGTTGCTATCTCAAACGGAACCGTGATGTTTATACTTTATTTATATATGATTAGCAATTAGAATTTTCGTATAAGTTAATTATTTATAATTGTCGGTAAGAGAGACTCCGATTGCTGAGGACATGCCAAGGAGGCGATAAGAGAAGACAGACCGTTAGATTTGGGGAGGTGAGAGCGGGCGTCACCGAGATCCGTTTTTCATTAGCATTTCTAGGGAGTGTTGGACTAGCCTGTTTGGGCTCCGCGCAGGAAATAGGTTGCTATAGCGGCTTCTATCTCCATCCTCTCGTATTACAGATTAGTATTTATCATAGCTTTATATTCACAAACACCTCTTCTAAATGATTATTTTCATAAATGATGGAAGAACCTCTGTTTTGTGATATTTTACTGCTATAGGGCCACTATTTAGCTTATAAAAAATGTTTTTTTTTCAAATATAATCTAATGAGATTGTGAAAAACAATATAGAATTTCTTAGATATTAAAGTATGTCAAATAATAAAAAATAACCAAAAAAATTGACATTATAGCTGGGATAAAGTACAGTGTAAACATTATATTATTTTTATTTTATTTGATTATATATATATATATATATATATATAATCAATTTTTTTTTTTTTTGTTTTTACTGATCACTCCGAGATAAACCACTAATGTCAAAAAATCCTTCATGTAGGTGGGAAAAATAGAATGCTAATCAAAAAAATAAATAGAAAACGCTAAAAATTCAACCAATGATTAATGTTACTTTCAATTACATAAGAATTAACTAATGAAGAGAAGATCCATGAGTCAAGTTAAAAATTATTACTCAATTAATGCAAGATAAAGAGGATAATAATGCTTCCATTTCAACATTTGAAGGAAAAAATCATGGGCAAACGATGACTAGCCATTATGATTCCTTATTTAATAATATAATATATATAATAGGAAGTGGGGTAGCTCAGTGGGTGAGCACTGACTCCCAGAGCTCAAGGTTTCAGGTTCGAATTTGGCTGATGACTAGTCATTTTTCATCAGCCATTGATCCACTCTGGGATCAGGAGACCCTCCTGGGGCACAACCAGCCTCTATAAAGTCGGTACTCTTTGTTAATTAAGGGAGAAAACCTGGCAGTTGAACGTGATCTCGGCCCAATCACCTTCCTGCACAATCGTCAGTACTTCCTCACATTGTACTGAGCTCAACACGCTTCAAGGGTTGTTAGTGATACAGGTTTTTTTTTTTAATTATATATGATGAAGAGAAGTTGTCTGGATATTCAGACGAACAAGTAACAGTGAAGTTAAAATAAATAAATTATATTCATTTATTTTTGTAATATATATAATATAAATTGTTATTATTTTTGGAAATTCATTGTTCCTCAGCATTCGGTGGTTAAAACATTACCCGGACTTAAATCAAGGGTAAGGTTAGATCAATTATTAGATAAATATGGTAATATTATGGTTGCTGCTTAATTTATTTTTCTTATAAGCAGGAGTCTAAGGAGGTGGTCCGACCACACTGGGCCTCATTCATTAAAATAATTATATCTCGATTTATACACATCTCACAGCATAAACAAAAGATAAAACACTGAATCACTGTCGAAACACGTATTTAAAGGTATATAAAGCTTGAATCAAATATACCTTCTTGGAAAAATAACTGTGTAAGGAAAATATAATTGAAAATTATACAAATATTTGTTAACAGCGGTAATCAATATTAACTGGGAAACATTAAAACTGAAATTAGGTTTAGACCAACTTACAATTAATTTTATGGAAACCGGCAAATTGCTAACCACAAAAATATAACCTTCAGAAATTTGTTGGCGACCTTTTTCATGAATCAGGAAAGAAATTGGTCAAACCTATGATCCAGAGAAATCATTTACAACAGATATCTTAAAAAAAAAAAACTAGAAAAAAAGTGAGCTAATAATAATGGAAATGGAAAATTTGTACAACGTCCAAGTTTCCAACTCGTATTATGGGACATGAGGAGGAAACTGATTTGACAATTTTAATTCATATTTAACCCTGAAAAATAATTGACTTCTGGGATAAAAATCAGTATAATTTGAATGCGGATTGCTCCCACTGGTTTCAGTCGGCATACAAGAAATTTCACAGAAACTCCACATACATCTTGGCACATTAATTCGTATCTGTTGGTTAAATGGCACAAAAATATTAAATTTATTAGCAGTTAATTTTCTTCTTTTTAATTCATAACCTAATTTTATAGATTCAAAGTAACTCAAAGACGAGTCATTCTTTTAAAGTTGAAAAAAAAAAATGCTTCAGAAATGATTTTTTAAAAAAAGTATTTTAATGTCCATTTGCTCGAGTCATCTCGTTAGAGACGATTGCATCAGCACTTGTTGAATATTATGCTCGGAGGGGTTGGTCGTTGACTCGACTCTGGAACAGATCCTCGACATGAAGAAGACCGCCCGCAGATGAACTGGGAGCTGGAGAACGGGACTCTATAACGGACTTATCGGGAAAAGGAAATAACCCCTGGAGGAAAAACCTTTAATTGTTCAGAAAATCTCACAATTCCAGCTTGGGTGTTCCTTTTTCTTTCTCATTCGTTTGTTAGGAGCTCATACCAGAGTATAATCGGCAAAAAGAATTTACAACAATGCGGTGTATATATAAAAAAACTATTGATGCCTTTATAAGAAGCTATGAAACCTTTTTAAAAAGATCTATTTTAACTGTTTCTGTTGGACTTTTTAGGGAAAAAAATCTTAAAATAAAATATTTAGAAAAGTTTTTGTAATAAAGTTATTTCACTTGGCTTATGGTAAAAGTTTAACTTTTATGTACTTAAGTATAAAAAAAAGATGTGAAATGAGAAAAAAAATTAATTAGGCTTAGATTTTATATATACAATTATTTGAATGAATTGCCTGATTCTCATATTATTTTATGTTTTTTAAATTAATTTATTTACAAAATAAATTTTAATTCTTTTCTTAGCCCTGATGAAGGCCTAAACTTCAGGTCGAAACGTAGGCAAATGTAAAAATAAATATTATTATTTATTTTTGCCTTTTTATTTCTGACTGATCACCACAACTATTCTTCTCTTCATTATTCACGATAGTCAACCATCAACCCACAATTAATTTATTTACATATTTTACAGTAAATTGTCTCATAATGATGATTACGAATATCATTAAGAATACACTGCACAACTGTTATTTTATAAACTTTGACAAAATGAATCAATTGAACAGAAGTTTTAAATATATATATATATATATATATATATATATATATATATATATTTTGTAAGTAAAAGCACTGTAGAATCTTTAATTGAAAAAAAAAGAAGGAAAAAATCTAATTCCGGCATAAGTTAAAGTTTCGTTTAAAGCCTTGGTATTTAAACGAACTTATGCCACCAACTTATTCTAGCAAGTTTTTTTTCCTTCTGGAGAGGCTACCACAAAATAAAATAAAATTCCATGAATATTGACTTCTTCCTCGCTAGCTAACACCAATCTTAACTATTAAAACATAGTATTCTCGATAATGCTGCATTTAGTTAATTAATTAATATCATTAAAATGAAATTATTTATAATTGGCTGATTTCATTAAGACACTCACTAATAGTTTAATTTTGTGTTATTTCCAGTGCTGAACGTGGCTGCAGGAAAGGCACCTATGCAGATCAGCTCAGAGGGTGGTGGAGTCCCCCAGAAGGCCATCGACGGCAGTACCAGCTCCTTCTTCAACCCCGAGACCTGCACTCTGACCAGGCCGGAGAGGATCCCGTGGTGGTATGTCAACCTTCTCGAGCCTTACATGGTTCAGCTCGTCAGGCTGGACTTCGGCAAGCACTGCTGTGGTAAGTCTCTTATGGCAATAGTTTATCCAATTCCATTCACTGAATGTATAACAGATCACTTTAATATAAAGGATTTGAAATATTTTATATTTTATATTGGGTAAAACATAAGAAAGATAATAAAAATGAAACAAGATTGAAGTTATGATGTAGTTAAAGAATTACGAACGATAGACTGGTTATCGAATTTTTAATAACTTATTTAATTATTTCTACCTTTTACTTTCCTACCTATACTAGGTAAGGAAAGTATTGCAATCGGGTCAAATTTCCGATATGCAGCTTTCGACGGATCTATACATTTTAGAGCTCCCTGAGTCCGAAAAACACATTTATAGCCATCGGTCTGTCTGTCTGTGCCAAGATTTTCTCGGGAACTACTGAACCGATTTTGTTGCTTCTTTTTTTATTTTGAAGGATTTCGACTACTGATGCCTGTGACAGAAATTCGGTCCCCCGTGCGCAATAGCTTGCGCGCAATAAATGAAAAACATGTTTTTCTATTGACTGTAGCGCGAAAACGGCTCTAACGATTTTGATGAAACTTTCTTATAATGTTCTATTAATTGTCCTTTCAATTTTCGTATATAGACTAAATTCTTGAGAAAATTCAAGGAAAAAAGTTATAAAGAAAAGAAAAATGTTATAAGGCCTAACTCCCTAAGTATATATTATACGGTAAAATTTATAATAAAACTTTTAAAAGGTAATTAAATTACAAATAAAAAAATCATCGTAATCGAATGCTTATTCTATTCTTTACACATTTTTTTAACTTATTACTTTCCTACCTATATTAGGTAAGGAAAGTATTGTAATCGGGTCAAATTTCCGATATGCAGCTTTCGACGGATCTATACGTTTCAGCACATTTTTTTTTTTTTTTAGGTAATGAAATTCCCTACAAAACTATTAAAAAATCGTTCATTTTTGACAATTATTAACGAAGTTACAGCTATTCAATTTCCAATGTAAGATTACGGGTTCATATCCTGATGTCAGAAAGGGCTGAATGAGAGAATAATGATGACTAAGTGAAACTAAGAAATTATGTTGCCCGCATCACACAATCTTCATTATTTCCTCTACTTTTAACAGGAATTATTGTTTGACAATACTAAGCTATGGCAAAAAGTTTTTGATCAGCAATATTAGGAAGTGTTGAAATATTTACATTGATCTACCTTAAGCCGGTTTTACATTGTTTTAGTTTATCAAATACTCAAATCTTTTCTTTAAACAATTTTCAGGAAAATAAATCTAAAATTTTTTTTAAAATAAATAAAAAAATTTTTTTTTTCTTCGTGAATATATGTAAATATATAAAAACTTTTCTGAAATAGGTAGGAAAGTCGTGTGAGTGGACACACCAGATATTTTTATTATTATGTTCTTATTATTTGCTTTATTTGTTTTTTTAAATTAACTAACTTTTATTTATTAATCATCTTAAACTTCTTCATGATATAAAGTTTTTTTGTCTTTAATTAAATTACTATAATCCTCTTAACATAAAAAATATTCTATTCTCCGAAGATTACGATCTGATTTATAATGCCAGATTATCTTCGTAGTGAAAGTCACATCTCATTAAAATTGTTTTCTCAAACAAACTATGCAAATGCAGTTATCTAACCTCATCGTGGTAAACACTCTTCGGTTTCACTTATTTTAGGAACGTTTTCAGTTCGTTAGCGTCCATATCATCCCGTTACTTTTAAGATTACAAATATTAAAATAAAATAAAAACTTTTTATGAGAATATTGGACCAATAGTTTAGGGGAGCCGTTGTTAAAGTCAAGCGAAGGGATGTAAGCATTGACGACCATTGATATGCAAGCCGATGATAATATGTTCTGCTGGACAACGGTAACCACGCTCAGTTGTTACTGAATTGGACTATCCCGGAATAGGTCAGCCTCGAAATTGTGGTGGTCATTACTGATTATGAAATGTATTCGGCTGTCGGCTGCCTACTGGTCTCCTCGCTTCATATTGAGTCTCCGATAAACAATTACAATATATTTTGGATAGACTTTATAATATATTAATTTTATTCTTTCAAAAGTTAAGGAATAACAGTTCCGTAAATTTTATATTCAGCAAAATTCTCTGCGAAATACGTGATTAAATTAATAAAAATTTAAGTCAAAATATTATTTATTCCATTCCAATAATGAATCAGAGTAATTAGTTGTTGACAAAATCTGATTTACAGGCCATTACGCATTTTAACTGTAATGTAATCTAGAGAATTAGGTCCTTTACTGGAAACGTCACTAATGCCAATTCTCTATTACTAAATTGACTTATTAGGTTGTTTTTTAATCAGATATATTAAAAGACTTTCTTTCAATAATCATTATTTTTGATTATATTTATATGTTCAAGAAAATTTGAAGATTTTATAATTTATCTAGTGGATCAGTGAAATCGTACAAACCTTCATTTAACATTTAGTAGTTGTGATCTTTTTTATTGACTTAATCCATAATGAAATCATTTTTATAAAATTATTAGAAGATGATGTTTCTGTATTCTACTTTAGATATGTTTCAATAATAGTTACCTTCATTATTGGATTAGATAATTTATACGTAAAAGACTAGTTTGTCTCGCAAAATTCGAATGTAAGGTAAAATTCTTTTTTTCTTTTATGTAAGGTTACTATAATCATTTCCTTTCTTTTATTTTATTTTAGACCACATTTTATATGGAATTCGCTTACTGTTGATTAAAAGTAAAATTATTGTTTTATGATTCTAATTACTTATTTCACATGGTACCAGGAAGATCGTGAAACTTATATTGTACTTTTTAAAAAAGCATCATTTTTATAGTTTGCTGGAACTTCTTTGGAAACTTAAAAAAAAAAACCTTTTTAGTTCTCTGTTCACTGTAAAACTTTATTTTTATTTATTTATGTGCTTAGAAAAAAGTTGCATGAAATGTGAAATTGGAAGCAGTTAAGTAAGCTTAGATTACAACCTAATTTTTATTTAATCTAATATAATCTTCAATGAATTTCCTGATTCTCATATTAAGAATGCATTGCAAAATTGTTTAGGCAATGGTGCCCATCATAATATTGATCATAAAAATTAACATTAAATCTCTCCAGAATACCTATTACGATAAAGGAATAACTGAAACATAAGTAACAAAAGAAGTATTAACATAGCTATAAAGATTTATTAAAAAAAAATATAAGCAATAAGGCAATATACTGCAAAATAGCTGCTAAAAATAATAAAGTACAAAATAAATAAATAAAATTGGAAAGAAGGATAAATTGCTTTTGTAGGCGAACCATTAGTGAAAAGTGAATGGAAATCTTTTCCATATTCATATCAGAAAAAAAAACATATAAATGATGTATAAAGAAAAATGCGACCTTGTTTCATAATAAATAAAACTACCCAGCGTCTGATTCAATTGTAAGGAGGAATTGGAATAACAGGGTTTTAAATATGAATAAGTATGGTGCATGGGGAATTTCAAGCAGGTTAGAATGCCAAAAAGTGGCGGAATGGACAATAAAGGATTGTTGAAATAAGGCAAATTTGTGGAAAGGGATGTAAAGGTCAGAAGGACGAGATCTTGTGAAGAGGAAATTGATAGATGACTTGAATTGAAGGAGATTGTATAGCGGACCCTACATGTGGAAAATATGGTGATTCCAGGATAGGTTTGGTCTATGAAATTTTTAACTGAAGAGCTGAAGGTGATGGGATAGGCATTTAGGTACAGGAGATGAATGTTGGTATTGGATCTAAGAAGAGGTTTGGAACCAATGACAATGGCTTGGGATTTAGCAGTATTTAACCTTTATCCATTTATATATTATCTTACTAATTTATTAATACACGTTACCTTTTTTTTTTTTTTTTTATCATAAAGCAAAGAGAATCACGGAGTTAATAGGTTTAGATCGCGCTTGGAATGCCATAAGCAGTTCGTGGCACGTTCATAACGGACTTGGCTCTCTATCTTATGCAAGAAACCCACCGGTGATTCATCACGCATTAATTACCAAAACTTTCTCGCCCATGATTGACTTTGAACTCCATCAGGATCGTCTGATATTCGAGTGATTCGAGTCAGTTCTTAAATAATCTTGAATGGACCACGTGATTCCATTAATTCTATATTGTAAGAGTTTCATTTAAATTGGTTTGATACGCTAATCGACATAATTTCAGATACGGAGTACAGCCTCTAACTGATCGCATTAATTAAAGTGTTTCTTTAGTTAGAACCCGGAAATTTAGTTTCTAAAAAGTAGAAAATTACTGAAAACGTTTTTCTTTTTTAACGGGGGCTATTAGATAAAATAATGTTGTTGTTTTTTATCCTAATCGCAATAAATGGTGCATTTATTGAGTTGGCATAATTTGTATTTGTTTGCATTTTTCTTTCGTAACAGACTTACTACAAAGAGATATTTTCTCACACGCCCATTAGACTGATCTCCTGAACTTAGTCAATCATCATTATGTCATCTTATAATGAGTCAATTAGATTATTCTATTACAATAGAAGAATGGTCATTGTTGTATTATTTGACCATTTAATGCCCCCAATGTTTACAATCTTTTTTTGTATGGTGTTTCTAGCTTTTAAAAAATTGTTGTGAATTAATCTGTACAATCTTTTTTTGGAAGGAAGATGATTGTTTCATTTTTATAAATAATATTTCAAGCAAAGTAAAGTTAGAAAATGTTATGCGTGTAACTGGTCCCGAAGTGTGGGACTTCACTGTTACATGATGCAATTTCGAAGTAACAATCTTTTTATTCGCTTTCATTGTCACTCATACTTAAGTATGTTAAATATGTCATAGAACATATATTTGTCCCCTAAATATGGTGAAAAAAATTGTCACTAGTGTCATCCGGGAACACGGGCAACATTTTTTATTATTAAGATGACAATTCAATCCGATATCAAGTATAAGACTCCTCCAATAACAAAATCTTTTCTATTTTCTGTTCATTAC